ACCCCAAAAAAAAAAAAAAAAAAAACATTAAAAAAAAAAAAGAATAACCTTCTCTTTCAATACTATGATACATAAGTAATTTTCTCGTACTTGTAGATGCACAAAAAAGACACATGAAAAGTACTATTTGGGTTGTTTCAGTGAAAGATGCCTGGGCCGTTAGCCCATATTGCAAACAAATTAAGCAGAGGGAGTGAATAATGTCCTGGAAGATTCTGCATAACAGCTAAAAATAATAGTAATAATAGAGGCACCATTTCTTGAGTGCATACCATGTGCCATAAATGTGCTAAGCATCTTACACATATCATTTGCTTTACTACAACAGTACGACAGGGGAAGTTATTACTAGCCCCAATCTTCAGATGAAGAAACAGGCTGAGAGGTTACATTGCCTGATTTTTTTTTTTTTTTTGCGATACACGGGCCTCTCGTGGCCTCTCCCATTGCGGAGCACAGGCTCTGGACGCGCAGGCTCAGCGGCCATGGCTCATGGGTCCAGCCGCTCCGCGGCATGTGGGATCTTCCCGGACCAGGGCACGTACCCGTGTCCCCTGCCTCAGCAGGTGGACTCTCAACCACTGCACCACGAGGGAAGCCCCTGATGTTACATTTTAAGTCAGTGCCTCATACAACTGATTTCAAAAACTTGTGTCTTCTTAACCACCCTAAGAAATGCATCTTATTTTGTCTCTATAAAACTGTCTCCAATACCTGTATTTTATGCTACATGTAATGGAGTTGAAGCTTTTTATTATTTAGTAATTCCTATATTATGTTCCGATACTTTCATTTTCAAGATTATTACTCTATTGTTTCATGGCATCTCTAGAAATATATCTCCATGAGATATGTACTTTGTTTCATATTGAAAAGTATAAAATTTACCTTTAAATTCCTATGTGTGTATCCTATGGTTATCTGCATGTACTATTTTTCATTATTCTAATTTTTTTTTTTTTAAAAACAAAACTTAGTGGATAACCTTCAGTTTCTTCATCTGTAAAATAAGAGGAGTTCCCTAGAAAATCCCAGATGTTTTCTAGCTCTAACATTCTAAAATCATATTCAGTTTTAAATGTGTTTGCTTTTTATTTTATTGCTCATGCAGCACAACTGACTGTTCATGAAGCCTAGTCACCTTTTTCCAAAAAAAGGTCTACCATTCTTGAGTCAGGGTTTCCTCTGTATTCAGTCTTGCTCAGCTGCTGTGCTGGGTCACTACAGCTTAACTCTCACGATGGAGGCAGACAGCATCATTCATTTAGATCAACTTCCCTCATGCATAGACCAAATTCACCTTAGTATTTAACTGTTCCTTTCTTATAAGTTATTTCATTTGATTTTTGTAGTAAACACATGAGACAGGCAAAGTAGGCATTATTATACTATGCAGAGACAAGGAAAAGCTCAGAATATTTAAACCTTTGCCAAAGGTCAAATTATTAACAGGCAGAACTTGAACCTAAATCTTCTGAATTTGAGATTCATACTCCTTCCATTATTTCACAATGCCTATATACTTTTTAAAATTAATGTTGAATTAAGAATCTATTAGAATTGGCTAATTATGTAGTCTCCACATGCCTAACCAAAAACAAGGCTCTGCTATTCAAATTGTGCAAATTAAAGAAGCTAAACTGCTTCAAACACATACAGAAATTTGTATTCTGAGGTGAATTCTTTTCTCCATAATGTGAAATTTATACCGATGGTCCCCGACTTATGAAGGTCTCACTTGAGATTTTTCAACTTTATGATGGTGTGAAAGCGATATGCATTCAGTAGAAACTGTACTTCGAATTTTGAATTTTGATCTTTTCCCAGGCTAGCGATACTCAGTATGATCCTCTGTCATGATGCTGGCAGCACCAGCACAAGGGGCTTCCCTGATGGTGCAGTGGTTAAGGCTCCGGCTGCCAACGCAGGGGACGTGGGTTTGAGCCCTGGTCCAGGAAGATCCCACATGCTGTGGAGCGACTAAGCCCACATGCCACAACTACTGAGCCAAAAATAAATAAATAAGAATAATAAATTTTTAAAAAACGTTAAGTGAAAATTAAGTTTTCAGTTATATACTACTTTCAGCAAAGAAAAATTTTAACTTGCTTAGTATACACTCCCTTTTTTTTTTGGCTGCGCCACAAGGCTTGCAGGATCTTAGCTCCCCGACCAGGGATTAAACCCATGCCCCCTGCAGTGGAAGCACGGAGTCCTAACCACTGGACCGCCAGGGAATTCCCTATTCTCCCCCATTTTTTTTTTTTTTCCTTTGCGGTACGCGGGCCTCTCACTGCTGCGGCCTCTCCGGTCGCGGACCGCAGGCTCCGGACGCGCAGGCTCAGCTGCCATGGCTCACGGGCCCAGCCGCTCCGCGGCATGTGGGATCCTCCTGGACCAGGGCACGAACCCGTGTCCCCTGCATCGGCAGGCGTACCCTCAACCACTGCCCCTGCGCCAACAGGGAAGCCCCTATTCTCCCAATTTTTTTTTTTATTCTCCCAATTTTAATGAACAAAATCTTCATCTGAATTTAAACTCCGTGATACCAGTACCAAGGGAAAAAAGATTAAGAACAAGTTAAACAGGTTTCAGTATTGTTTGCAGATAAAATTATTTCTAATTTCTTTGTGCTTTGAGGGTAAGATAACAGTATGAAAGAAAGAAGAAAGTAGTGACAATAGGTCATTCAGAGCCCTCATTCAAAGGCTTTCCATTGCTCACAGAGACTGAAGAATGAAGTAATGGCTCAGAAAGAGAGGTTTAACCACTTTCAGAAAATGTATTAAGATTTATGAATGCCATTACCATAAATACTATTATTAGACTATTGGCTATTGTTTATTAATACTGCTTGGATCCTACAGAACAACCATAGTCTGATATACCAACCACTATAAAGATATTATTAGCAAGAATAATCTAAATATTTCATTATTAACATTTTGGTTGATTCTGATTTATATATTTTATCTGCAAAAGCATTGTGATGTATATATGTATGATCAAGATGTCAGAGCTGATGTTCAAGTTTCTTAAACACGATTTTGTGCAAAGACCTGTAAGACAAGTTAAATATTCTGAAGTGGCTACTAGATCTTACCTAATGCTCCAATGAGTGCAATAATGGAGAGCATGTAACAATGCACCAGTAATCAAAAAGGATATAATAGCCAGCACCTGAGCTCCTATTACGCCAAAGCAAGACACAGGACAGGGCAATAACCTTCAAACTCACTCTCCAAGACAAGCATTATTATTCCTGTTTTATACTCAGTGAAAGAGAATCACAAACCAGGAAGTGCCAGAGGTGGGATTCAAACACAGATCTAACTCTAAAACAAGAATGTTCTTCATTATACTACCCAGATGCTCAGAAACACCTACTGCAAGTAGGCTGTATTCCTACTAAACAGATACACCTGAGAAAAAAGGTACTTATTGTAGCTCCAATAAAGAAGTCTGGAACACAGACACTTAAGAATACTTCTTTGAACTGGTTACTTGTATTCCCCCCTCCCCACCTCCATCTCCCCATATGGTGGTATGCCATAGGGTATGCAAATCAAACATGGTCCATCTTCCTAAACAGTTCATTTACTCAATAACTTAGAAAGAAACATTTTCATGAAAAACATATATTATAGAGAAGGCAAAATTTCCATGAATTTTAAAGATAAAACATAAGATTTCAAAAAAATTTCAAGCTTTCAAGGCTTTGGACCAAGCCCCCAGACCCTTCGTGGTATAGGTTCATTCTCTTCCACCATCAGAAGAGGTAGAAAAATTAAGAAGCACTGTCTGATACAACCATCCTTGGCTCAGGACAGGTTCTCTCTCTAACTCTCACACTATGGAAATGAACTTTAGTCCTTCAGAAGTCGCAGGAAAACAAACTTTCAGCTTCTGTTCTAAATAACCCTCAGGCCTTCCTTTCATCTTGCTTTCAGTACAGCTTTCTCTACTTCACAAGTTAGAGCATGAAGGGAACTTAGACACCTATCATCAGTCCACTGCTCTTTCACAATGGAAGAAACTGAAATAGATATACTATGTATCTGGCCCTGGGTCTCCAGCTAAGTCTTAGCAAGAAACAGAATTTTCTTCTATGTCACAAATCTCTCCCTTTTAAGCATTTGCTCGAAATACCTATGCTGAGGAGCACTCCCAG